CTTGCTGGAGGAAGGGTGTCACTAGGAACAGGCTTTGAGATATCAAAAGACACACCCATGTCCAATGTTCACCCTGCCTCCTGTTTGTGGTTTGGAAAGTGAGCTCTCAGCTGCTGTTCCAGCCACCTGTAACCAGCTTCTTCCATCAGACATCATGGACTCAGCTGTCTAGAACTGTAAGCCCCCCAAAAACTCTTTATTCTGTATGTCGTCTCGACCATGGTGTTTTATTACAGCAACAGAAACGTAACTAAAATGGATGGATGATTTTTCTCAGTCCTCAGAAGTCCTGAGCTAAATCATTATGCAGATGATAGAACTAAGGCTCAGAAAAGTTAGGCCTTGCGCAGCTGGAATTAAGCCCATGCAACATGGGATCTCAGCCAACAGGCTAAGCAGCAGCAACCCCAGGATGAAGAGCCAGCCCATCAGCAGGAAAACATCTGCTTCCCTCTGTGGCTTCCTCTCAGTCTCATCCCTTACCATGTGACCTGACACAAGCATTCCTTCCTACCTGGGTCCTATTGTGTTCATGAAGCAACTTCTTGAAGGAGAGAGGCTCCAGAACTCAGCCACTGTCAGTCCTGGTGCAGCAAAGCTGCCCTCTTGACAGAGGCAGACTCCAGCCCCACCCATTCCTGTGCTGAAATAATGGTTCTGACAAGGGGTTTGAGGCCATTGATAGACTGACAGCATAATACCCACGCCCTTAGAGTGTGTCTTTCAGCTGCAGCAATAAGGACAGGATAATTTTAGACCAGCTTCATCTTTCCTACTGCCAGGACAGCTCCCAGATAGAGACCAGTTATGTCCCTCTGCACTGAAGCCCTTAGACCCCGCTGAGAGCCACCGACCTCAAAGTGCTGAGAATGAGTTTGGGTCTCCTGAGGAGTGGAGCTGAGGGCAATCACCACTTGTGGTCCCACACTCCAGATCTACAGTGTCTGTGGGAAGACTCTTCCTCCTTCACCACTGGCATGAGGCGAGGACCTCTGAACGTCTAAGCAGACATTACTGTTTCTGGGGTCTACTCAGTGACACGCCCCTCTAAAGCAACCCTCAGCTCCAAGGAGGCAGGTCACAGAAGAGAAGGAAATGCCTGGATGAGATGCCCAGCTAAAGGCACCACCGTGGTGCCCTCTGTTTCTGCACACCTTCCCTTTTCCATCCTCGGTTTCAGAGGCTCTTCTGCTTCTCGGTTTTCTTCCTATTTCTATAGATGTGCTTTCCTTTAGGTGTGTAGATCAAAATCTTTTTAGAACACGATCTATCCATCTTTCTTTCACACTCTCCATTTTCAAGACCTTACTTGTGAATGGGAAAGCCCAAGGTCTCTGCTCTAACTGCCTTTTCTTTCTTCGGTCTGGCCTATCTGCCCACCAAAGCCCAGCCTAAGTGATGACTGGCAGGAAGGGCTACATCACCTGAGCTATGAAGTGTACACATGCACACACCCTTCCCACCCAAGCCAGAAACCTCTTCCCCAAGAGCCTTTCATTCTCTGGATATAGCCTCCACTTAGACGGTGCCTAACTCACAATGATCTTTAGAACTCAAGGAATAAGATCCCTTAGCTCTGGGAAAAATTGTAAGTGACTCCACAGGGCCATAAATGTGCAAAGAGTGGACCAAACGTTGCCGTGAAGGACAGCTTATACTGATACTCCTCCTCCTAGTTGGCATTCAGAGTTTTGAGCGGTTGTCACCATTTACTGCTTTTAAGAAAAAGGATGCAGAGTTGCTCATGATTACAAAGCTAATTCTAATTTTTGTAACTTTCCCCATCTTTGCTCATGTGTTTTGTGAACTTGAACAATCTTGTCACCTCTTTGCCTCCATTTCCTTCATCTGTAAAGTGGGAATAATAAAAACTACTGGGAGAGAGAGGGATGGTGCTGGATTAACTAAAACTAGGGATTTGTTGAAAATCCTTATGAAAACGCACTACTTTGTAAATTATTTTAAATATACAATATATATATAAAGACATCTAATATAGGTGCTGTGAATGTGTGGACAGCACTGTTCTGTAACAATATAGTTGCCTGTGCACATGTTGTTCTTTTGCTTAAGTTACCAGCGTGTGATAGAACACGAACCAAGAGAAACAATAACCATGAGTTTATTGGGGAGGGGGGTGAGATGGAGAGGGGAGAAGGGAGAGAGAGAGGGCAAGAGAACATAAGTCAGCAGGCCTCTGTCTTTTAAAGGGGTCCTTTGCACCTGCTTGCAGACTGTACTCCTGAAACCCTGGGCTGACCAGAGTACTGCATTCTGTCAGGTAACAGGGGCGGGCCAGCATAATACCTGAATCCTTACACCTGTAATTGTGGCCACGCCCTTTGGGCGTGGTTAACAGGGAGGAAGTGACTGGTTAAAGGGAGAGGATAGGGATGCAGGGGACACCTTTGCCCTTCACAGAGAGCATTAGGGAGGCATGATCTGCATCCTTGGAGTGGGAATGCTGCGACAGTCACTTACTGTTTTCTCTGTTAGTTCTTTCCCCAGTAAAACTCCACTATACATTCATACTGGGTCTGGTGAATCCATAATTTCCATGCCTTCACTGCTCCCAGGAGGCATGGGTTATTAAACAAAAAACTCCGTACCAGGCATGTTATATAAGTTATTAGTTAGGGAGGCCACAGAGGCTCTCCCAAACAACACAGAATATTGCCAATGTCCTTGGATGCCCACCATAGCTGCACAGTAAGACCTTATTACTGAAGATACTACACCCTTGGTTGTAGGGAACAGAGGAATCGAGCTGAAAATGACTGGGAAACTTCCTCTCTGTAGGCTAGTTTTCATAGTGCTAGGAGTTTTCATAGTGCAGGCCGCTGGAGCAAAAAGTCATCGTCAATCTTACCCAGTGTGCTATAATATGTAACAGTGAGCTCTGTATGCCATAATCCTGACCTGACATGCAAGATACGCCCATCAGTACAATAGTAGAACCAGGGTTTCGGGGGTAACCAAATGCTTAGGGTTGAGACCAGTTCCACAGGAGGAAACTCATGTCTGGTCAAAAAGCCATGGCTGGTGTGCTCATAGGTCCTGAAAGAGAACCTACTACTGTTGTCTTCAAAATGCTCAAACTGCCTTCTAAATATTTATACCCATAGATTTGTGCTGATCTCAACTCTGACCAGACTTCTATTCTGTACTAGGCAACAGTTAATGAAGAAACTCATAACTTGTCAAAGAGCTGGGAATCCCTATTAATCCACCACCACCAAGACTCATGGAATGTCACAAACAAGGGCATAGAAAGAATGTAAGAGCTAGAGAATGGAGAGGAGTGTTGTAAGATGTTGTCTTCTAGGCATGACATGTCTGTTGCACTCCTGAACTCACAGTAATTGAGGTTACCCACATAAAACCCACACAAGATCAAGCCAGTGTCAGCATTCTGCTAAGGATGGGGGAGGGGCTGACAAGGCCCCATCCCTAGCTAAGGAACTATTGGTAGTTGATATGAAGATTAAATTGTCTTCATGGGTGTGGCCCCTATTCGAATGAATGGCCCCATACCCATGCCGGTAACAGTAATTGGATGTAATGAGTTACTAAAGATGATGAGGAGGAGGAGGTAAAAGAGGAAAAGGTGGAGAAGAGGAAATAATGAAGATGGGAAGATGATATGTTAGGGAGGATCTCTGGGAGACAGGGGAGGGTAAACGAGGGGATAGACATGATCAAAATGCATTGTATATGTGTATGAAGTCCCTAAGGAATAGATTTTATAGTAGATAAATGTGTGGAGCTAGAAGCAATCATTCTGGAGTGAGGAAACTCTGACCCAGAAAGAGAGATGTCACATATTTTCTCTCATTTGTGGGTGTTAGCACTGAGCCTTCAGATATGTGTGTTTTATTTGGAATACCATAGAAGCCAGGAAATTATTAAGGGGTCTTGCTGGGAGGTGTTCAAGAGAGGGGAGATAGAATCAAGTGGTATAAAGGGAATAATGTCAAAGGAAGAGCCAAATGTGGTTGGGGAGGAGAGGGCAGGGTAGACAAGGGAACAAAGGAATAGAAAAATAACATTAAAGATCTTTTGAAAAAATAAAAAAGAATAGATTTTAAAATTATTTTTAAATTATCCATCTCTCAGAGCCAGTATATCAAACACATGTGCAACTCTTAGTATTCTGCTATTTGAAACAGAACCAGCTCCAGGCAGCTTAATGATACACTTCCTGTACTCTAGAGGAAGACAGGATGCTCAGAAAAGCAAGGACAAGGGGAGAGACTCTGGAGTTCAGGACAGGCGATATCTGAAGCTCTGTCTGGATTAACACACTCCAGCGACTGTCCACCCTTGTTTCCCTCAACTTCTGCTTCCTATTTACAGGGAAAGAAAGGTAGCATGGTTGGTTTGCTCCCTTTACAGCGGGAGACCAGAACTATGATTTACAAGTAAAAAGACTAAACTAAGGCCCAAAGCCAGGCATTCATTGTGGTACACACATTTAATCCCAGCTCTCAAGGGCAGAGGCAGGTGGATCTCTGTGAGTTTGGGGGCCAGCCTGGTCTACATAGAGAGTTCCAGGACCGCCAGAGCTATATAAAGAAACCCTGTTTCATAATAAAATAAAGCCCAATACCATCTAAGGAACAAAATAAGGGTCTTAAATAGCCTAACCTTGAATTCTCACCACACCTACAAATAGACAGCCCTCCTCATCAATTGAACTAGGACGATTCTGCCTGTGCCTACATGTGGGTTTTGCCTCCCTGGTGGCCTGTGACATGATTTACATAATCCAGCCACACCCTTGAATGTCACAGGCACACCTCACCCTCTTCATCTACAAAGTCTGCTTCCTCAGGCCCCTTCGTGCCCATACTGTTCCCCAGTGTCAGCACAATCCCGCCCCCTTCCCGGCCCCCCCCCCCCCCCCCGCCTCATGGCCCTGTGTGGCCTGCAGCATCCTCCTCTCCAAGGCTGTGACTACGTATGAATAATTAAATACTGGTGACCTCATCTCTCCCATACTAATTGTCAGGATTCAGCTACCCCAGGCCCTAAATCAGTGGCCTCTCCCTCACCAATAGGGTGAAAACAAAAAGTCATGTAGGATTACACACATGGGAAGATGCGTGTGTCCCAAAGGAAAATCGAGGTGTTGTTATCAGAAGATCTAGAGGAACCAAGGACTAGGAAAACATCCAGTGTCCTTCCCATGCATCCTTGCACAGGCTTCCCATGATGCCCAAGAAACAGATTGTTGTTTTTTGATGTTGTATGCTTTATATTGTTTAAGACAGGGTCTTTCTGTATAGTACAGTCTGGCCTCAAAATTTACAGTTATCCTTCCACAGCCTCCAGAGTACCGAGAGTATAGGCCTGTGCCACTATACTCATCCAAAACTGACTGATGTTTTTTAGTGTTACGTGGTAGTCCTACCCTTTCTATATAACAAATCAGCAAAGTGTGTGGAAAGATGCCTCCACTGCTGGGTTTTCATTTTACTGATTATGTTCTGTCTTCAATCTTTCTCCATCATCTTCAATGGCGTTACATCAGTTACATGAGAGCCTGCCTCCAAAAAAAAAAAAAAAAAAAAAAAAAAAAAAGGATTAAAAACTATTTCAGGAAAGGAATGACCTTCTTAGTCAACAGTGCAGCTGTTGTGTTCTAATCACAGGTGACAAGGAGAGTCCTCTGATCCCAAGCATCAGCCTGTTGTCTGTCATTCTGTCATGAAAATGTCATTCTTCCAGATTTCGAGAGTCCTCTTCCAAATGGCACAAGTCCCACTTTGTCATCAAATGCTTCACCTTGCAGAGGTTTGCTCTCCTTAGCAGAGAACAAAATAGGACACAGACTGGGTACCTGAGTGGAAGCAGAGTACCTGACTAGGACAGGGCCCAGGAGGGAGGAAAGGAGGCCTGAGAAACGGCTGGGGACCGACACCACTGACAAACATCGAGACAGCTAGTCAGTGGGCCAGCGCCAGTCAGCATTGCTCCCACCGCGTGCTATGGAACTGCCCAACTCAGTGGTAAACTGTTGTCTCCTTGCCCTTGTCTGCTGGAAGCCGGAGAACTTGGCATCTGCATAAAAACAATGGCCTCAGATACTGGGCATGATTCCAAACCGTTCAGACCCTGCTCAGGGGCTGGGATCTCAGTTCCTAGAACACAGGAAACCCCAGCCCTATCCTAACACTTCTCCTAGGTGTTCTTCAGAAATCAAAATTCTTGTGGAGGCGCACACAAGGTCTCCATGGCAGCAGAGTATAGATAACAACAACAGTCAGGGCTGCAGTTTTTTGGAGAGGTTATTAAATTCTGGGAACTTGATGAATTACATCTGCTTTCCCGCTATAACACCTTGCAGTGGATCCCATATTCCATGGAAGACATCTCAGCCCAAATAGTAAGTAGAAGAGCTGGAATTCAGTTCTCACTCCGAAAGGCTCAGACACATCTGCTCCCTTTGGAAAAGGACATGGCTGGAGTGCCATCACGTCCCAATGATGCTGGGAAGGTTAGCTACACTCTCATAAAAGCCCCAGAGGAGTTACTGTTTTCCTTGACTGTTTTACTCAGGTTTCTGTTGCTTTTTAACATCAATCAATTGATCACACTTGCCCTCGTGACTCAGGTCTCAGAGAGCCTTGGCAGCTCAGAAAGTATACATCTTTTTCCATTTGTGTTTGATTCCAACTCTGTCTATCTCTCATCTCTCTTGAGAGCCCTTATTGATTTTTCTTCTCAATGTGTTCCCGTATCACCCACAGCTTGAACATAAAAATGACTGTGGCTTAGAACACCATATGAATAGCATTTACACCTTTTAAAGTCGTGGGCATCCTTTAAAATAACCACATTTCATAATAAACAATACCATTTAGGGTGTTCGAACATAGAAGCATTCTTTTCCTTCTCTTCTTTTATTGTAGTCATGGAGACCTCAGAGTTGGTTGAAATGAACAGACAAAATTAAAACTTACATAAAACGTTGATAGCAAATGGTGCTGATGGTTCCTGTCTCAGTGGTTTGTGTCTGAGGATGTCAATCACGCTGCAGGAATGACCTCATTGTGATCTTGCCCTAAGGTAGGAAGCAGAGACGTGATTTCTTGGTCTGAAGATACACACGGGAATCCACGAAGATGAGCAGGGATGGTCCTGATCCACTAGAATAGAGGCTGAGATACAAAAGAAGCCTCTTGCCCCATCATTTGGCATCAGACGGATCATATAATTATTTGAATTTAATATTTAATCAGAAAGCAGCTAAGATTAAATCTCAGATCACATTCTTGAACTTGCTGCCTTAAAAAAAATGGGATTAGTCAGATGGCTCAGCAGTCCAAGGTGCTCGGCACAGAGATGCTCGCCACCAGTCCTGATGACCTGAGCTACATCCCCAGACCCCTCATGGGGGAAGCAGAGGACCAACTCCCCAAAATTGCCCTCTGACTACACCTCCCCCCCTCCCAAATGAATAATTTTTTTTAATTTAAGTTATGTGTTGGTGTTTGGTTTTGTTTTCCAAGGAAAGGAAAAGGAAAAGGAAGGAGGGAAGGAGGGAGACAGGGAGGCAAGGAGGGAGGGAAGGAAGGAAAGAAGGAAGGAAGGAAGGAAGGAAGGAAGGAAGGAAGGAAGGAAGGAGGGAAGGAAGGACACTCCCCCGACCTGCTCCGTGTCACTCACCTTAGTGAGAACAGCTGTCTCACATACCTCATGCAATCACCACAGGACCTCTGTAAAACACAGATCTGATCAATCGACTCTACATGACCATGGATGAACATGAAACTTCCTGCTGACACATGGCCTCTGGGATTTGATCTCTTGCCTATTTTCCTGTCTCATCTCCCACACAGCCCCCACAGCCATGCTGGAACAAACCATTAGCAACTAGCAGTTATTTAAACACAGCACAGACTGTGGTCCAGGCCACTTCCGTTGCCTGGAAAGATCACCTCTCCCCCATAGTATACATTCCAGTCCAGGCTAAGCCAGGAAGGCCTTTTTGAGTCAATCTCTCTCTCTCTCTCTCTCTCTCTCTCTCTCTCTCTCTCTCTCTCTCTCTCTCTCTCTCTCTCTCTCTCTCTCTCTCTCTCTCCCTCTGTGTGTGTGTGTGCCCATGTCTCTCCCCTCCTCCTTTTATGAACTTTTTTTTGAGGCAATACTAGTATCACAGGCTTGCATTCTGTACCAGATTTATGCCGTGCTGGAGACTGAACCAATGCTTCATTTGTTAGTGCTAGGCAAACACTCTACCAACTGAGCTCCAGCTCTAGCTGTGGTTACTTTTCTAAGGTAACTTTCACTTATTGCAAAAAGAACTACACGAGCAGTATGTTTTTTTTTAAACACACACAAACAAAGGAATTAGAAATACATCTAATCCCATAACCCAGATCCTGTTCACACTTCGACCTGTGCCTTATGCTCTTCCTAATTTGCACATACAGAGACATTTTCTGCCACACCAGCTCGATTTCTGAGACAGTGCAAATGCCAGTTCCTATAAGAAGATTCTCTTACCTTTCCTCCCCTTCATCTTCCCACACGCAGTCTCACTGCTCCCACTCACCCTTCAGGTTGCTGTTTAAATGTCTCATTTGAGACAGTCCTTTCCTGGTCCCATAGTAAACTCCACAGCCCAGTTACTCTCCCAAAGCACATCGCCTTCTCCTTGCTTCCCAAGATCTGCATTTATAATTGGACACGTGACTAACCAAGCTTCTCTTCTTCCAGGATTTTCAGCATCTTGCTGGGTCATCAAGTCTGACAGAAAAAGGAAATGGCTGCTTTGCCCTCCACTGCCAACACAGAGAAAAGACAGACATAACTAGTCTGATTAGAGTCCACATTTCCAATGTACCATAATCTCTTGGCATTCCAAAAGACACGAAGAGAATAACAGCAGGCTTGGAGTCTGGGTTCAGTAGGTCTAACATGGGGCCCCAAATTAGTATTGATGGTAAGTTGCACTGACACTTCCTTTCAGGGACCATAGTTTGAGCAATTCTGACTCAGACCATGATCTATCAGGGCCAGGAGAAGCCTGAGAGCTGTGCAAAGCATGGACTTTAGTGAGGAACAAGAAAAGCCTGCTGCAGTGAAACAGAACAATGACCAGGAAGCTCAATAGACACCCAAACCAGAATTATATATATATTGCTCTCTCAAATAACCTTTTGAGGTGGGCATTTATTATGCCCATTTACCAATTAGAATATTGAGATTCAGAATAGTCAACAGTCACACCAATAGCCTGGATTTAAACTTCTATTTGCATGACTCTTATGGCCAATGCTCTTCTCTCGGATTTATTTTGGGGACCTGGGTTTGAATTCTAGCCCCAGGGCTCATCTGGGCTTAATATCATCATCCAAGATCAAGTACAGGTGACACCACATGACTTCATTTTGTTGGTGATTATAGTTTTGTGGAAAGTGAACGGTGAACACATTTTAGAGTCAGGCAGAAAAGTCTGTGAGTTGATAAGCCACCTCATCGATCCAACTTCAACTTCCTCAAAGACGTAAAGAATATGGAACATTCATCTCAAAAGCTTTAGAACCAGCAGCTAAGGAGGAGGCTCAGTTGGGGAGATGCTCGCCGCATGAGGAGGTCCTGAGTTTGGTCCCCAGCACCCACATAAAAGCTGAGCAGTCTGCACACTTACAACCCCAGCAACATGGAGGCAGACACAGGAGAATTCTTGGAGTTCCATGCCCAGCCAGCCTAGGGCAGTCAGAGAGCTGCAGGTTCAATAAGAGAACCTGTCACAAAAAAATAAGGTTGAGAGCGATTGAGAAAGACACATGACATTGTTTTCTGGACTCTACATATTTGTCCAGCCATACACCAGAGAGGGGAGCAGAGGGGAAGGGCAGAGGAGGGAGGGGGACAGAGAGAGAGAGAGAGAGAGAGAGAGAGAGAGAGAGAGAGAGAGAGAGAGAGAGAGACTGAGAGACTGAGAGACTGAGAGACTGAGAGACTGAGAGACTGAGAGACAGCAGAAACAGGTTGATTCCAGGCTAATGTATGGTAAAGAATCCAGGGCTAACGTATGACTGGAGACATGCAGGTGGATATATCTCATTACTATTCCTAGCTCTGTGATTTGGGATACTCATCTGTAAACCAAGGGCCTTGCAGAACACCTAGGAAGACTAAACAGGCTCAGAGATGATACTCAGAACATCACCTTCTACACTGGAGCCATATGCAGTTAGATGAAATCACTCAGCATCCTGTTAGAATAAAGTGAAAATCGCTTTTTCCCCTTCAACAGGAGAACACTGAAACTGACATTGGAAGAGCGATGGGGAAGATAGGAGAGGCTACTAGAAACATCAACAGCTGTCCAATGGGAAGTGTCAGGCTCATTTTTCTTTCTCAGGCTGAGAGTGCCTCTTCCCTTTTCACGTCAATGACTCCGAAGTGAACCTGTGGCACGGGTTCTAACCAAGTGTGCAGGCATCATAAGCTCTGCAGTTGATCTTGTCAGCCGCACTCCAGAAAGAATGCATCAAAGATTAAAACTAAGTCTGGTGCTTCAGGGGATTTAAAGAGGCCCTCGCCCATGGAATGCCACCCCCCACCTACCGTGGTCTCAGCTTCTCTCCCTGTTGTATTTTCTTCAGATAACACATCACCATCTGAAATGACAGCATTGGCTTCTCTGTTAACTATTTCATCCCCCTGTGAGAAGGTAAACCCCAAGAAAGGAAGGATGATTCCTGTCTTTATCCCAGGTATATCCTCAATTCCAGGACAGTCCCTGGTGTATAGTAAGGATATTTGCTGTTAATTTCATGCACATTGAATGAGTGAAGAAATAAATGAATGCATATTTAAATAACAGAAACAAACACATCTCTTTTTCCAAAGTGTAATTTTCACTGAGTGGGATGGTAATCCAACCATCCTATGAATATATTTAGTTGTATTTCATCAAGGAGAGCAGCTGTAAAGGACTTACCTTGAGAATTTAAGCCCATTTCAAGTTGTCTAAACTTGTCTAAACTGACCAGGGATGTACTGAGCCTCACCTGAGGGACCAAAACACCCAGTAGAGAACAGGTTGTAAGATCTAAGAGAGTGGAAACACATAAGAGAGGCTCCAGGGCACACCAGTATTAAAGAATACCTCTGAGTTCAACCAGGTTCAGCTTCCAGGTGTGTCCCACAACCAAAGACTTGCACCTGACTCCTAGAAAGAGTGACAGCAAACCTCCAAAGGTCATGATTGACTCAATAGTTCAAGAAGGGGATACCCAATATATACATTTGAAAAGGAAAAATGTCAAAGACGATCTCAAATCTCAAGCAGCACCATGGCAATTTCAAAGGCTTTAGAAACATCTCATAAGACAATGCTTCTGGGTAACATTGTTTACTAAATCAGTCATGCCTTGGTAAATGTCAGAGATGGATTCTTGAGTGGGCATCATAATAACCTCAGAGACACAAACTAAAAAGGAGAAAACTAATGGAGCCCACTTAACAACCCAGGCGACAGGGAAGGAACAGGGGTAAACAACACAGAATCCAGAACCCTTGAACAGGGAGGTTTTAGAGGGAGTAGGGAACAGATATAGCATTTTACTAGGCATATAGTACTCAAGAGACTGAGGCAAGAAGGTTGCCACAAGTTTAAGGCCAACCTGGCATACATATGAAAACTGCCCATAAAAATAAGAATCAAAAAAATGATACTTTTTTATAGCAATTGACCATCTTGTATAGCGAGTCTTCTTCTGGTTTGATCACCATAATATGCTTACTTAGAAAGGGGAAGGGAAAGCAGCCCAAATAAAACCCCGCCAGAGGTTAACAAACTCTTCACTTTAAATACAGCTTCAATTCCTTGACATGCGTCTTAGTTACTTAGTTACTTCGTTACTTTTCTATTGTTGAACAAGGCAATTTACAAAAGAAAGCCTTTAGCTGGACTGAGGTGGCACAGACCTTTAATCCCAGTACTTGGGAGGCAGAAACAGGTGGATTTCTGTGAGTTTAAGTTACAGAGAATCCCTGACTCAAAAAAAACAGAGCATTTAATTTAGAGCTCACAGTTCCAGAGGGTGCTCATGAGCATCACGGCAGAGGACATGATAGCATGGCACTGGAGCGGTAGCTGGCAGCGCACATCTTCATCCTCAAGCATGAGGCAGAGAGTAGAAGACAGATAACTTGGAATGGTGTGGACTTTTTAACTTCAAAACCCACCCCTTGACACCTCCTCCAATAAGGCCACACCTCCTAATCCTTCTCAAACAGTTCCACCAACTGAGAATCAAGTATTCAAACATATAAGTCCATAGGGGTCATTCTCATCCAAACCACCACAACATATTAGAAAAACACACATATATTCTAAACCTGACCATATAAGCATTGAAGGGAAATGGGAAATTCTGATGGACTGTCTATTGGATTCAGAAATAGACATGACATGATATATTCCAAATAAGAACTTGCTTAAAAATACTTTTAAAATGATTCTTATTTGGGTGTAGTAACAAATTCCTTTAATCCCACACTCAGTAGGCAGGGGCAGGCAGATTTCACTGAGTTCCAGTCCAACCTGGGCTATGTGGCAAGTTCCAGGCCAGTCAGGGTTACACAGTGAGAACCTATCTCAACACGAAAGCATGCCAGGCATGGTGGTACATGCGTTTAATCTCAGCACTTGGGAGACAGAGGCAGGTGAAACTCTGATAGTTCAAGGTTATCCTGGTCTACATAGTGAATTCCAGGACAACCAAGTCAATGTAAAGAGATCCTGTCTCAATAACAATAATAGTAATAATAATAACTGTTATTATTATTACCCATCCCAACTACCTGCAGCAGTGACTGAAGTCTTCCACAGTTTCTTTCTGGCTTAGCTGCTCACTCCCCAACTTCCCAGAATCTCATCCTTGATTTGGTCCTCAGTCTCCCCCCTGTTCCTCACTGCACTCCCCATCTCCATGGCTGAAGACTGTATAGAAGAAACTATCCTTCCTTCTGGTAAGGGAATAGCAACACTTACCATAATTTCCCTGTCTTACAGAAATCAAAGCCAGAAAAAAATCGCAATTTTAGGTGAAGACAGAGGAAAGATTACTCTCTTTAAAAAGTCATTTATACATGATAAATGAATCTTGACAAAAGGCACCACACTTCAAAAGAGAGCAAGATGGATGTAAAAGTGAAAGAAATAAAAGGACATCTTAAGAGTAAAAACATAAAATTGCTCCAAGTTTTCAAAAGCAAAAGGAAACCCGTTTTTCATTTACATACATTAAAAAAGGAAACCTGTTACAGAGAAATTAAAACAAATGTGATGTGCTTATATGCTTCAAGCCACTGCTAGACAAGTGTATAAGATGTGCCATATACCATAACTTAATTCTTTATGACTTTTTTCTCCAGACTCTCCAGCTGATTTGCCACTCCCTCTAGGCTCCAGGGTAGCCCATTTTACTAACACTAGCTTCCAACTAGTTTTCACAAGTGGGCACCAAGTTTGGGGACTATTCACTCAATTTTTGCCTCTTCTGAAAGATAATTCTCTTTGGAACTATTTGATCACTTTATTATGGATAAATGCTTAACTACTTATTCATAATATCAAATTTATCATTGATAAGCGCTTAACTATTTTATTCACAATATTCATCTTCAAAAAA